TACACTAAAAAAACCAACCACTTGAACAAATGCTCCTGTGAAAATGCACCCGTTTTTACAATTTTCTCCGCCACAGTTAATATACCGGTCTAGTCCCGCAAACACTAAAAAAGATTGGCGTGCCAAATCCGCTCCAAACTTTACGCACGGAGGACACCCGAACGCAACACAACCACAGGCTACAAATACACAGTATACTCACTACTAGCACAAAAATACAGCAGACACACAGGCCTATCCAACAAAATGCTTTAGATTACCCGAAAAGCCGACCATAACAAATACGCACCTTTACGCACGTCCAACACAGGGTACAGCGTCCACTACACAAGGAAATGAACGGCGAAACACGCAAACTACAAAGAAACAGGTTCAAAACGCGACGAGCCCCCAATTTGTCATAACCTGGCTCAAGGCCATGACAAATATGGACGCAGACACCGTAAATGGATACTTAAAGGGTGTTTATTAAACAAAGATTAACCCAAAGTACCAAAGTAACAATAATAATGAGGTGTGACTGTCTGTATCAGTGGTGTATGCGAGTGAATGGTTGTGTGTTCGTATGGTGCGATGTGAAGTGTGATGCAGAACAAAACCATAACAGGAACAGAAAACAAAGTGGTGTGGCACAGGATGCAGGCTGAGAGAGAGTGAGGCTGTCAGCAGGCCGGTCCATAAATAGGCGTGGCGCGTCGGGCCCTGACGCACCACGCTCCAAGGTCCGCCCACAGCTCCACCTGTACAGAGGTAGACAGCAGTACAGAGCACGACCACAGAGAGGAGGAAGGGGTCGTGACACATCTGAATGAATGAAATCAACACAGTCTTAGTGAAGTGGAGACTCCAGGGAAATATGCGGGTTTGAGGAGACTACAGTACGGAAAGATTCCGGCCGTTTAATCAGGGTCCAGAGGAGGGAGATTTTCTGTCATGGCTTATTTACAGCTTAAAATCATATAAAAAACCTCTAAAAGAGAACAGAAACATACATTTTCTATGTAACTAAACTGTTTTTTAAACGCCACTTGTAAACAAATAATGTTCCTGTTAGTAAATGAAAGTACTAATTTATATTAAATAATATCATACTCCCAAATTAAATAATCTATATTTTTAACCTGCTCATGTCAGTAAACTGTTTGTTGAAGACCTTTTTTTAAACAGTTTTGCATTACTATATAGTGATTTATAATGTATAGGTTTATTGTACTAGCAAATGACATTTACTTTACAAAAGTAAAGTCTATTTTCATATATTTATTTTGAACAAAAGTTTTTAACTACATTGGAATCATATTACTTTATCTTAGCTTTTATCAAAAAGGCGAGACATCACTGATCAGTAGATCTGGTTTTAGCACACTTTTAAACAATACATTTTAACATTAAGTAATGAATTTGGGAACATAATTGCTAACTGCATTTTCTAAACATGATCAGGTTTTAACTCTGTTTTAACTTAATATTTTTAACATAGGGCAAGTATTCTCAATTAGTTGTGAACTGAATATTAAACTAACGAAATCAGACTAGTTAACCATGATATGTTCCTAGAGTTTATTTTGTTTTGCCTAAACACAGTACAACATTTATAAACAATCAAAACAAAGTAACTGTTAAAGAGTCTGTGTTTCCGCTCCTCCAAAGGGCTCTTGAACGCATCATAAAACTCCGCGTAAGTTCTGACATTCAGGCCCTGTCCACACGAAGTCAAGCTCAGGCCTAAACGCAAAAATACTTTATCAATCCAGTGTATCGTCCATACGAGGCCGGCGTTTTGGGGGGGTGTAAACGAAAATTTCAAGAAGATTTCAAAACTCCGTATATGCCGCTCCGTGGTTACTGCCTCTCCGCAATGTATCTGAGACGCTTGCGTCATCGCCCCGCCTCTTGTTAAAGCACGCATGCGCCGCACTCAGAAAATAATGACAACAACAATGTAGCTTGTTGGTTTTGTAATCCAGTGCGACCCGAAGCAACAGTTCAACCTCATCGTCCGTCCATACTAATGTAGTACCAGCTCGCCCACTCGCCATGTTGTCTGTTTACAAAATTCTGCGCATGCCCAGTTCCCGTCACGGAAGTTTGGGCTTGATCCCGTCATTGCGTCACAGCGCCACCAACAGGTCTGGCATAGTTTCACAGCGTTTTCAGGCGTATTGACTACATTCATATGGACGCACACATTTACTGAGCTAACTCCGTGTTTACAGAAAACGTTTCTGAAATTATAAGCGTTTTGTCTTCGTGTGGATATAGCCTCAATGATCGCGAGTGAGGACGGCGCTTACCGGCTTCTTTCATGGGGTTGTAGAAGGGTTTGTTTTGCACGGTATTTGTTGCTTCTACTTACGTGGATCGTGCGCTGCGATCCCTACTTGTCCTGCTTGAACTCACTCTGAAGTGTGTGTGTCCGTCTTTTTTAACACACCGGGTGGGTGCGGATTGCGCAGGTGAATAGTTCCACTCGCCAATTCCCTCCGGTGAGGAGGGGGAGTGGCAGTTCGCCAGCACAATCCTCTCAATTTGATAAAACATTAAATTGCTCAAAAAAATTATAATAGTAGGCTGAAAAAAAAGAACATAAAGGTGCCTTGCACCCAATTGTTTTGAAAGATGTGTTTGATTTTAAAAAACATTTTAGTGCAAGTAGATGTGAACCATGAGTGAGGAGTGTATCTCGATACAACAGTAAAGTACTGGACAGTCTGCATTCAGAGGGCGTTGGTGCGCCCGCGCGATCTCAGACATGTCACTGTTTGTTCAGTGAGGTTGAGGGACGCAGTTAGAAACTTAAAGCGGAGGTGGGCAATGTTAGGCGGGCCAACTTCGGCCCGCGGACCCCACTTTGGGCACCCCTGCCTTATACATTACATTTGTAACCAGACACACAAAATCGGCCAACGTTTTCATCCTTGTCTGTTACCCTACCATCAATGTTTAAATGTAGATGGGACGCTCACCTCGATACGGTCCATACCCACGGTTCTAGTGCTTGGCTGTCCTAGTTGGTCATAGGTAGTGATGGCAATATGAAGCCCCATGAAGCCTTGAGGGTTTGCAGCCTATTACTCGGCCCATGAGTCGAAGTCTCGGGGTGAATCATGCTCCACTACGCCATCATGTGGACAAAGAAATGTAATACATGCCAAGGGCCGATAACAAATGGTAGGGTCTGAACATGGGCTGAAAGAATACAGCCAATGATGTGGAGACAGTTGTTATGTAAAATGTGCTTGTGTTACTTTGTTTATGTAAGTGCTTATGCAACTATTGACAGGAGTTGAAAAACAAACAATACAGTTATTCATTTTTATTCAAAAATAATAATTTTTCAAGAGTATTTGGACGATTTCTTTTTTTGCACAGTATTTCACCTGCCTTTGAAAAAACCCGTTCACAGGGCACAGAGGATGCAGGTGAACATAAATATGTAATGGCAAGTTTATATAAATTTGGAAATGTAAACTTATGTTTGTCCCAATATTGAAGGGGACTTTCGAGTCGAGGAATATTTGGCTCTCCCAGGTATGTTTGGACCTCCACTGTAGCGTTGGCAGTTATGTTTGGGGTTTTGGTCTGCTGGCATGTCGTGTCAAAACGTTGCCACAGTTTGCTCCCTAAAACAGAATAAACAGGTTATAAGTGACTTATTAGCACAAATAGAGTATACATATTACCTTCAGCTACAGATGATGATGATGGTGATGATGATGATGATGAAGCAGAAGCGGACAATGAAAGTCTCAAAACTTGAGCACATTCGCCAATCAATCTTTTTTCAGCTTCTGCTGCCTTATTGGGGTTGAAGAATCCAATCTTTTTAAATCTGGGATCAAGCAAGGTAGAGAGGGACATGATGCTCATTGATTGGAGGTGGCTGAGCTTGTCCCTCAGTTGGCTTCGCAAATACTCAGCCATGTCTCTGCTCTCAGGTGTTTGGATATGGCCGATCTCCTCTTCTTCCAGAGCATTATGGAGAATGGTCAAAAGTGGAACTACTTTTGACCCAGAGACACTTTTCTCCTCGGACACCTCAATTGTGGCATAGTAGAACGGAGCGAGCACCTTCAGACAGTCTGCAATGATGTTATATTGTTCTGCTGAGATTTGTGTAATGTCTGTACGGAGCCCAGCCAAAGCTGCTCCAACAGGCTCTCTCAGGTTGAACAGACGCTGAAGCATTAAGTACGTGCTGTTCCATCTTGTATCCACCTCTTGAATAAGTTTAAGCACGGAGAGACCGATTTGTGATTGAATCTGTGTAAGTCTCTCCTATAAAACAGTCAACAAATTAAAACAGTGCAGTAGCAGAAATAATAATTGACATATTACAAGTAAGGACCTTACCTTTGCAGTAGTGCTGCTCTTAAAGTATCCTACTATCTTACGACAGTTTGTCCTGATGTCACACAACTCAGGACTTTGGTCGAGAGCTTTTTTGATCATTAAGTTTAGCGTGTGTGCCACACAAATTGTGTAGCTCTCGAGCACAAGCTCCCATATTCGCAGCACCATCAGTCACCAGACATGTCACCTTTCCTGCTAAACCCCACTCTGACATAAGGGAGGTCATCACTCTCGCTAGATTTGCTGCTGTATGTGCCTCAGGGAAATGCTGCACCCCAAGGACAACAGTCTGCAGAGAAGTGCTCTCGTCAATAAAATGACCAGTCACTGCAAGATAGGCATCAGTGTTGATGGAGGTCCACATGTCTGCTGTTAAACTAACAGCAGATGCAGAAGACACCACCACTTTGGCCTTGTCTTTGGCTTCCCTGTATCTCTTCTCCACCATGGCTTTCAAAGTCTGAAAAAAGTAAAGTCTTGAAATAGCGGATCTGAGGATAATAAATTGTTAATAGTTCACATAAATACCTGCCGCGTGGGAAGAACATAAGATGGTGCCAAAGCTTTCACAAGCTTTCGGAAGCCAGTTCCCTCCACAATGGAAAAGGGCTGGGAATCCTCAATCACCATATCCACCAACGCCTCAGTCAAGTCAACCGTCTCAGCTGAAAGAAAATGCACATTAGGGTTAGAAATTTATCTAATAAACAAATACATTCAAATAAAATATATTTAGTGTAATTGTAGGACAACCATCAATTATTATCATGATATAAAATGGCCTACCCGAGACAGGTTCACCTGGGTTGGAATCCACATTGCTATGCAAGGCACGATAGTGCCTTAGCATAGCTGAGGTGTTATTATTATAACCCAGTTGTTTGGAGCATAACAGACACTTCACCTGCAATTGAAAAAACTATTATTCAAACGTATTTATAACAGAGAAAAGTGAGCAAGAGAAATTATGTGTTGTCATATGTAGGGTGAGGAAAAGGTGAGCGCCAATCGGGCGTGAATAGCAGACCCTTTCAATAAACATGCCCTCCCTAGCTCCTGAGACTTCAAAGTAACTGCGGGTTCAATTAAAGGCTAACATTCACCAGGAACGCCGCAACGAGACCCAGAGGGCAATAAAACATCAGAGCAGGACATCTGTGTGCCCTTCTGCCAGACGGAGATCAGGAATCATTCATCAACCATCGCTCATGGGACATTCCACAACCTGAGACTCTCCCACGGCACTCTGGCGCTCCCTAGCGGACACTGGACACTACTGCACCCGAGACGGACGCTCGAAAAGGACATTACTCTGTGATATTATGTCGATAACGTTACGGACCTTACTCGTGTGTGTTGATGTCTGTGATGTAAATACACTGTGTGTTTGTACGATGTGTTATGGGTGGCTGTATTGATCTTGTGTGTTTTTCCCTTGATAAACCGCCTGTTGTGAGGAGGCTGTCGCACATGGATGACGTCAAAGGACGCGCCCCCTTCAGAAGTCAATATAAACTCTCACAACGCAACAAACTGCCTCTTGTTTCTCCCGAATTCATCATAACAACCATCCCGTTTGGTACGTGTCCCCTACACGGCCTACGCCCGCCACCATCTCGGGCCTGCACATCCACGAGGACAGCAATCACTCTCGCTGTCGGAGACGAGGATCTTCCATCGCCAGCCACGTTCGGGCTTCTGGAACACCCCACCGCAACGCTATTCTAGACCGCGTCGTGTGTGGAACCCACGCCTGGACCCGACCTGCCGGCTCCCTCCTGCTCCCTGTTCGAACAAAGACCACGTGGACGAGGACATCGCCCCATCCTATTCTTCAGTCTCATCCTCCCATCTCCATCTCCATCCTCCATCTCCATCCTCCTCTTTCCATCAAACATCTCCTCTACGCTCCTCAAAAGTAAGACTGTTCCTTTTGTTAGTGCGTGTTTCAAATGAGATGTGTACAACTCCTGCTTAAATGTGACCAGAAATCCCTTTTCGTTATATTTTTACCTTCATTTTTGTAATCAATAAAACCCCTTTTCTTTAACTCAACCCCATCAGAGTCGTGTTGTTAGATTTAGGTATATCCCTGGCCGATTTTCGTACTCAACCCATCAGATTTGTGATACTGATATCGAGGCAAATACCCTGGGTCTGTCGTAGACCCTCAAACGTCTACTGGTGCCCAAAATAAATAAGACAGATCCATTGGTGGAACGGCGAGTTTCTGATCCGGAGACTAGCCGCTCCACACTACTAAATTTATAGCTTACTGTTATATTATTACCCTACACATATTTGTGTAATCTATTATTACAGAATTATTGATATGCCTTACCTTATTAGGTGAGATCTGCTCAAAGTGCTCCCAAACTGGAGAAAATCTTCTCTTTCTTGCCGGTTCCATCGCAAAAAAGAAGCTCAAATAGGATGCCAAATAGGATGCCAAATGAGAAGCGCAATAACCCAAAAACAAACAAAGTGATGAAGGGGAATCCATTGCGTTCACTCGTCCCTTTTATTTCCAATCGCGCTCCAAACCAATGAATCATTTCCTGAATCAGTCACGTGGTACGGCCGTTCGCGAGGCTTTGAACGTCATCACACACGTGACCAATACACGCCTCGACCCACACTTCAAAAGAAACGCCCCCAGATTACTCGGTCCACGCTTCGAAGACTCGGTCCGCTCAGCACATCACTAGTCATAGGAGAAGACCGTAGGCCGCCGCCGCTCTCTTCGTGGGTATATGTGAAATGGAGATGTCAACCTCGGCTCACCATCAGAGTCTCCATCTATGCCAGCTTCTTCAGCAGGATGATCGATGAGCTGCTCCTGGGGTGCCTCGCACTCCGCTGCCACCGGATCACCTTCAGTTGAGCTGTTCTGGTCATCTGAGTGATGAGGGTCCTCAGTCTCGGGTACCTGTGGGCATTGCTCCAGCTCAGGCTCCGGAATCAGCTCCTGCGCTCTGCTGTCCTCACGGCTCTGCAGACGGGGAGATCTCCACACCAGGGCTCCTTCTTCATCACTGTCTGAATCTGCATTGTCTTGGAATGTCTCTTGTCTTATATTTGTTTGCGTCTTCTTCTTTCGACTACTCAGCTGTTTGTTGTCAGGTTTTTCTATAGGTAAACTGTCACATGGGAGGAGCAAGTTTCTGTTCACTGTGCGACTTTTACCTCCTTGTTCTGGTTTTATCTCATAAACAGGCATATCAGGGTGTTTCTGGGCGACTATCACATACACCATATCTTTCCAGTGAGCGGAGTTTGCCGGGACCCCCTTTTTCTATAAAATTTCGGAGGAGAACCCTGTTACCTGGAAACAGCTGCACCCATGAATCTTTTTGTCATAATAGTGTTTGCCTCTTGAAGCTTCTTTCTGTGCTGCTTTAGATGCAATCTGATAGGCTTCGCTCATTTGTGCCTGCCATTTTTGCACATACTCTTCATTTTTAGCTGATTTGTTTGTCTTTGCTTGGAAGGTTGAATAGAATGTCTATTGGTAGTCTGGGGCTGCGGCCAAAAACCTTTGCCAGTGATTCTTTCCAGTATGCTTTTTCACCATCAGTCAGAGTCCTGAGCATGGAGAGCAGGGTTCTGTTGAAACGTTCCACCTGCCCATTCCCCTGCGGGTGGTACGGTGTGGTGTGAGAGCTGCGTAGACCACAGACTTGTTGGAGCTGGGCAAACAGTTGATGTTCAAATTCTCTGCCTATGTCATGGTGGATTCTGACAGGAAAACCAAACTTTAAAGCAAAGTCATTAAACATTTTTTCTGCAACTGTTTTAGCTGATTTGTTCTTTGTGGCATAAACTTGTGCAAAACGTGTAAAATGATCCATTACCAACAGGATGTATTCATATCCATGCTTACATGTCTCTAAATGCTGACAGTTTCTTGACACCAGTTTGTTCCATTGCCTGAGGAGGATTTTCACATCGGGTGTCTCATTTTTAAATGCTTGGCCTCGGGGTAAGTACTCACAGATCTTGTAGTGTATACCTGGGCCAATGACGGAGTCTTTTTCTTGACTGGTCCTTATATCTGTGGGTGTGAAGGACTTGTCTGGAAGAGGTGGTGTGTCTTGGACCATGCCAATGGTGATTTCACTGAAGGTGCAGCTCTCAGGCCCTGTGATCTTTTTCTGCAAACAAACACTGTCAGCTGCTGCCTTTACAACATCTTCCAACGTCTCACTTCGGCTGTGCATTGTGACATGTACTGCTCTATAACAAGGGGTTTTCTGGACAGGCCATCTGCATCAACGTTTCTCTTGCCAGGTCTGTATTTTATTGTGAAGTTGAAGTCTGCCAATTCCCCTACCCAGCGGTGACCAGTGGCATTTAGCTTAGCTGTTGTGAGGATGTATGTTAAGGGGTTGTTGTCCATGTAAACAGCAAAATGAGGGGCATAAAGTAAGTAAGTAAGTTAGTAAGTTTGTATTTATATACCGCCTTTTCACTGCAGATCTGAGTCTCAAAGCGGTTTACAATTGTCAATTTTTGGGCATTTGTCTCTCACTCCACACAGAGATGGGAGCGGGGTCGCCAGTACAGGAGGCGCATGCCAGAACTATTGGACATATTTTTAGTGGTAGGGGAAACCGGAGTACCCGGAGGAAACCTACGCAGACACGGGGAGAACATGCAAACTCCACTCAGAAAGGCCCTGGTCCGACCGGGATTCGAACCCAGGACCTTCTTGCTGAGAGGCGAGAGTGCTATCCACTCAGCCACCGTGCCGCCCATAAAAGAGATAGTCACAGAAACGTTCACATATTGCCCACTTTAAAGCTAGAAATTCAAGCTTTCCAGAATGCATGTGACAATTCTTTTCTGGGGGGGGTAAGTGTGCGGGAACCGTAGGCTATTACTCTCAGTTTTCCTGTTTGGTGTTGGTACAAGACGGCTCCTAAACCGCCCTGGGATCCATCACAGTGGAGTATAAAGGGCTGTGCAAAATCTGGGTACCCTAAGATGGGTGGCTCTGAAAACAGTCTGTGAGCTTGTTTAAAGTCTCTTGGTGGTTTTCAGTCCCTGTTATGGGTGTGCCAGGGGGTGGTCGGCCTTTATGTTTTGCACTAACCTTTTTGTTTTTTGTCTTGGTTACAGGCAGTGGTCTTTGATCTGGAGACAGGGTGAGGAGCTGATACAGTGGTTTAGCTATTTTGGAGAAGTTTGGGATGTACGAACGGTAATAGGACAGGAATCCCAAAAGTCTGCTCAGCTCACCTACTGTAGTTGGTGGTTTGTCTTTGAGTGCCATGACTGGGGCAATTTCAGCTGGATCCAGCGTGTAACCCTGCTCTGACACCATACGACCCAGGAATTGAACCTGTCTTGTAAACACATCACACTTATGAGGAGTAAACTTTACACCATGTTTTTGGTACCACTGTAGCACATCACGAAAATGCTGCACATGAGTCTGGAATGATGTAGTGCACAAAATTGTCATCTAATTGTGGCTGACAGATAATATCACGCAGTCCTTTCAGACAGTCCTCGATGCTCCATTGAAACTCTGCTGGTTCTGAACTCAGGCCAAACGGTATACGGTTCCACTGATACAGGCCCCATGGAGTTATAAAGGCTGTCAGGGGCCGGCTCTCTGAATCTAAAAAGCCCTGATGAAAGGCTTTGGCCTGGTCAAGCACTGAGAACCAGGAGCTGCCATGCAAAGAGTCTATCATGTCCTGAATCCTTGGAATGGGATGCCTGTCGGGTACAGATTTCCTGTTCAGTTCACCTGTCTTTTTCCTGACACAGACGATGGGGGATGAATATGATGACCTTGACTCTGAAATCCACCCTCGGTTTAGCAGATCTTGGAGATAGTCCTTTACTTCTTGATGCAGGGGCTTTGGAACTGAAACATAAGTCTTTTTCACAGTGGTAGTGTCGTGGAGGGTGATGTGCATGCTTAAAGAAGGAGTACATCGAACATCTTGGTCATTGTATGCAAAATCGTGATATTCCTTTCTCAGTAGCTGCCTTACTTCATTCTGCTGGATTGGACAAAGACAACAAGCTTAACTGGGGGATCCCACTGATCTGGTTTGGGGTGGGATTGGGCCTTATTGGTGATCTCATTAATTTTGATTATTAATTTGATAACTGCTTTTATTTCTTTTAAGTGACCCAAAATGGTGCGAGCTGGCACAGTAAGATCTTGTTTATTGGCATTAGCAATGGCGATGGGAATGTATACTGACCTTCCTTCAGTGACACTAACCAGTCCTTCTTGTATTGCCAGGCCTTCTGATAACTGGGGCAGTTCACCTGGAATGAAGAGCAGACTCTGGCCTGCATACTGGGCTGCTACATGTGCTCGGACATACGTGGTGCTTATTTGAGCTGCAGGCAGGCATATTTCTTTCTTGCCTGTGTGAACTGTCCCGACACTGTTATTGTCACTGGTTGGCTGCAGCAATTTAACCATTGACCTGGCTGTCTTGACTGAAACAGAGAATGTTTGACTGATTTTATTTATACCTTTTGCCTTTAAATGTCCTTTTCCCCACTTGCCAACTACTTCTTCTATTACATTGAAGCCGATAATAGGCTGTTCTGCAACAGTGGAATCACAAGCAACCAATAGGGGAACATATAGGGTCTTGGTGGGGTGAGAATCACAGTCCAATAAAAATTCTGCTTCAACCCAGCCTATGTATGGTATTTCACTCCCATTAGCAGCTACTGCTACAAGTGGTTCTGATAAGAGTTCAGATAGAGGTCTAAGGGTGCTATGAGGGAGGTATTTCTTTCTCCATTCCTCATTTATTAAACTAGCTTGAGCCCCTGTGTCCCATAAAGCTTCCACTGGCACATTGTTGAGATGGCACTGGACTACACATCTTCGTCCGATGAGGTTGATGAGCTGTGTTTGTCGTTGTGAGGGTATGTAACTGTCGGACTTTGGTGAACTTTCAGGGCAGGACCGCATGGAGTTGATTTGGGACCTGATAGGTGGCTGGGCTACTGTTGATCCCTCCTCAGCAGCCCCCCTTCCGTTTCTCTGCAGTGGTCTACCTTGTCTGCAACCACGGGAAAGATGGCCTTCTTGTCCGCACCGGAAACAATGTTGGCATGTATCACCAGCCCCAGCTTCTCTGCACACTTGACATCCTTTAGCTCGAACAGGTGTGCGCTTGGGTGTGGTCGCTGCAGATTCAGTGTATAGTCTCTGTATTTCCAGTACCTCTGCTCTGAGTCCTTCAATTAGCTTAACAGTCTCTGGGTCTGGCCCTCTGCCTTGTGGCTCTTGATTTGAATTACTTTTATCCCCAACTTTAATCTTTATTTCCGCTTGTGTGCTATTGCCGCTGTCTTGTGGTGCATGGTTGTTGCTGGGTTGCACCTCTGCTTGTATCTCATAGACCCTGGGTGTTTTTACTGCGGTGTGTCTTTTAAACTTGTTTTGTCGTTCTGTTTCCAGACTAGATGCCTCATTTATCTTTTCAATTAACACCTCATCTGTGACATGTGCGTTGCTCAAGTATGGATTTAACTGGAACTTCACTGCTTCACTCAACAAACCATGTCTCAAATGCTCGCAGGAACTTGCGCTGGATCAAGTTTGAGCTGAACTGCTCACTTTCATCTTCTTCATCTGCTCTTCAGCAGAGCAGTTTTTCTCCTAGTTCAATTGCCCTAAACAGAAAAGCTTGAGCAGACTCTTTGGGATCTTGAGAGATGTTCATGAGCCTGTGGAGTAGATCAGAAGAGGAGTCAACTTTGTAGTGACCTCTAAGTATGATTTTGAGTGTGGGAAGTGTGAGGTCGCGTTTCACTTGTTGTACTCTCAACCACCTTCATCAGGGCACAATGGGTCTGTACTTGGAACCCTTCACCGGCTGGTTTACTGCACTTGAGATGATGACACACTTGGATGAGCTCTGTTTTCTCCAAGGACCACAGAGTTGCAAGGGTATCGTCCAGAAGTTATTCCATGTTGGGTTTGGAATTTCTAGGTTCGTCTTGTAGTAGGATGCTTTTTTAAAAATTTGCCTCCTGGCTGGCTCGCCAAGATTATGTTACACACGTACAGAGAACTCATTTGGGTTACAGTTTTATTCTGCAACAAACAAAATACATATTCAGTATGGCTCGGGTCGAACAGTAAGCTACAGCAACACACAGAGCTTAACTGCTTCTGCGCGCGAGGCAGAGCGGTCATTGCTCTGCATTTAAGTGCCACTACTGACACTTAATGGCCATGTCCGGCATTGCATCTGTGGCCGAACAGTGGGTAACAATAAAATAACAAATACAAACAATTATTAACATATTAACATATAATATTCACAAATTAATATTTGGTGGGGGGTGTCTTTTTATAATAAATATTCAAATACGTCCAGGGTGCCACATATAAAAATCATTAAAAAATAATCATGATTAAAAAAAAAAGAAGCCCGAGCCCGGCACGGCCCGACTGCTGAGCGCTGATAGGAGGCCCGAGCCCGGCCCGAACTTGGGTCGGGCTCTGGCCTGCTCAGGCTGAAAAGCGAAACTCTAGTTAGCAGCCTTTGGTTTTGAGTTGTCTCAGGGTGGGAGTGAACCAGGGTGCTGTGTGTTTAAAGGACACTGAACCAGGGTGCTGTGTGTTTAAAGGACACTGAAAAGGTTGAGTGATGCCAGATTATTGACAATGTTATGGAGATCTGTGTTGTAGTGTGTAAGAAACTCATCCCCATCAGCACTGGGGAGGTTATGGATGAGAGTTGTTAAATTGACCGGGTTAATGTCCTTGATTTTACAGAAATGTGTTGTGCATGGCGGGTTGCATTTGGTGAAAGATAGGTTGAAATGGAATGAGAGGAGGAGATCGTCTATGGTAGGTTGCCAGTTTGACAGTCCGGTGGTGTTATTCCTGAGCCATAGGGTCCAGAATATGTCCGTTATTGTGAGTGGGAAAGAAGACCAACTGCTACAAGTGTAACTCCCAGGTTCGTGTGACCGACCTGTTAGAGTGGACAAAAGTGCAGGAGGCAGGTTGTTTAAAAGGTTAAAGATTTATTACAAAAAGGATAAAATGTTTAAAAAGATGTATTATGAAATGTCCAAAAGTGCAGGTGAGCTTATTGATTCCAGTGGAGCGATATTGGGGGAGGAGATGGGGTGGACCTGACCATCCAGTTAGCAAAGCCTAGCAGCAGCATATGTCCAATGCAGAGTGCTGTATTTGGTGGTCTGACAACATCCACTC